ACGGCCGTCTCGCGGCCTTCACATGAACGAAGAACCTCGGGCGCCGGCGGCCGCCGCTCTCGATCAAATTCTACGGCCGCTCTATCGACGGAGGCGGAACCAGCGCGCGAGACCGGCGACCGCGCCGATCAGGCCAAGACTGGTCAGACAGCAGGCAGTGTCAGCTCTTCGAGCGGAGATTGGGAGAGCGCTACCGATTCGCCGATCCGCTTTGCGCAAAAGCTTCCCGACACGTCCGAGGAAAACCCGCCGCCGGAGGACCAGTCGGCTCTCACCAAAGCGCTCGACGCAAACGAAGATCCTGCAGACGCTCAACCTTACAAGCAGCAGCAGCAGCAACAGGGTCCCGCTCGAGGACCCGGCCGAAAGGCCAAGTTTCAACTCGGAGCTTCGGATCCCTTCGAGGATGAGGACGAGGATGAGGAGGATGGTGACGCGCCTCAGCGAGACGAGAAGGTGGCACATCAAGCTGGGACGGAACCCGCTATCCCTCCCGAAACTCAAGCGGGACAGGTCGATGCACAAGGTCTCGACGACGACATCGTTCCGGAAGCCGAGGAAGGGTCGATTCCAGCAGCCGCAATGCCGCCCGCTGCGACCGCTGCTGTACCTTCCCTGCCGGCGACGATTCGTGCTGTCGCGCCCCCAACTCCAGAGGGCGGACAGGCGGAGCTCGACCCGAACGACGAGCAGGAAGCGGCCGGAGTCGCCGCGCCGCCTCCGACTTCGGCGCCTCAGCATTTGTCACCGCCGGAGATTCCGCCCGACGATCAAGTTGACCGCAGCAAGAGCGGTGCTTCCCTGCTCGCGGCAGCGCAGCCCGAGCTGGCGTTCCCAAACAAGCCGCCCTCGAATCCGCCTTCTCAAGGTCCGACTCGGGCGACATCGCCGTATCCCGAACCAGCGACCCCGCCTGCAGGGCCCACCAAGCCGCTCTCGCCGAATCCGACATCCGTTCAGCGCGATCGCGAAGAGCGGGAAGGCGAACAGTCGCCGTCGAAGAAGCGGGAACCGGAGCAGAAGCAGCAGCGTGGGGACAAGCCCTCGTCTTCCCCGTCCAAGGCGTCGATGCTGCCGCGACTGAAGCCTGTGCGGAAAGCGTCTGACGCCTCGATCATCTCGACCATGTCGCGGCGCTCGTACTTTGATCGGCCCGCGCCACAATTCCGTCGCTCCGCCAGCGGTGTCGCGCCGCCGAGCGTCGACCGAGACGTGACTGCTCGCGGCGACTTTTCCGCTGCTATCAATGAAGAGTCGCACACCTCGGACGGAGGACGAGGACACGCCTGGGGCGATAGCATGAACAGCATGCGGTCTCTTCGGCAAGCCACGGAGCCGGCAACGGCTCCGCAGGCTCGGCGGGCCGACTCGCTGGCTCCCGGCGACGCACAGCGACCACGCTCGTCGGAGAATGCGGGAGGCGCGCTGGCAGCCCTTGGCAGCATCGCCGCCGCGGCAGGTCGGCCGTCTCCCAGTCCTGTCGAACCGGCATTGTCGCACGCGAAACGGTCCGCCAGTGGCTACTTTAACGCTCTCCGAGGCTTTACGAGCATTCCAGCTCCGAGCTCGACGCCGCCGCTCTCGCCGTTGACGAGTCAGGCTCCGCGGTATCCGATCCCCGGTCCGTCTTCGTCGTCGTACACGCGCAGCAGCTCGACTCGACCTCGCCCCTCCCCTTCACCGCGCCAACCTCCGCTCGTCGTCAAGTTTGTCGAACCGCCACAGCCTTCTGGCGCTGCTCCTCCCGAGCGACCCGCATCCGTGCAACGTGCGAGTTCGCCGGCCGCCTTGCGGGGAAACCTTTCCGCTCAGCATCGCAACGCCTCGTCTGCCTCGCTCGGGCCGATGTCTCGCACGCAGCAGAAAGCGCTGCTGGCTCGCGATGCGCCGCAGTACGCCGGCGGCGAAGCGGCGGGAGGAGCGCTCGTTCCGCCTGCAACGCCCGGTGGCCTCACCCCGGCGCAGCAGCAGTTCCTTGCGCTCCAACAGCAGCGAGCGGCGGCGACGGCGGCGGCGGCGGCTTCTGGTCCTGCGACGGGCGCCGGCGGTACAGGCAACAGCTCCTCCGGTTCCGGTCCCCCTTCGTCGGCGGCGTCACCTGCGCCGGGCGCTCAAGCGGTCAACCAAGGCATGCAGAAATGGGCGTTTGGCCTCGTTCGTGAAGCCGAGCGTATCGAGCGTCAGTACCGCGCCGTAGAAAAGTGGCGAGACCCGCTCGGCGAAAGTCTCGAGCGCGTCCTGATCGTCCGGCAGCGCGCGCGCCGGCGGAGGGAGGACGACCGCGAAAAGGTCAAGCAGGCGATCGCGGCGGCGGCGGCGGCCAAACAGCAGCAGCAGCTCCAGCCTGGTGGATCGTCTAAGAGCAGGACGAGCACTCCGGAAGCGGGGATGAGTCGACGGTCGAGTGCTGGTGGAACGAGCGAGGGCGATAGCAGGCCGGCTTCGATGCGCGGCAAGCAGCGAGGTGAGTCCATTCTCGAGCCCCTACTCGCGAGGGGGTGTTGATCGAGTTTTGTGCCTACAGGAGTGGTGGCGTGAGGGGGTTTGAGGGACACTTTCCCGCGGATCGACTCGAGGCTTGACTAGACGATGTTGTATTGTGCCATGCCCTTTTTTCCTGCCACCTCGCTCTCTGCTTCAAGACTTTGCCTACAAGCTCCCATAGTTGCTCTATTCTTTGTTGCCGACGACTCAGTCCTTTTCGCTGGGAGCGTGATCGTCGGCGGGCGTCGTCGCGAGGAGGCGTCTGCTTCTCTCCTCCCCATACAGATTCCGTCAAGTCCAGCCCTGCCAGGTACGGAAGCCAGTCAAGCTGCTCGTCCCTCTCGTGCTACTCTATGCGCTGAACACGACTCGCCGCGGCAGACGAACGCCGGACCAGTTCATCACCCCCACACGGTGCTACTTCGCCGCTACACGACCTGATCAAGCCAGCCAACGCGGGCATAGCAATCCTACATCGCTCGGAAAATGGTCCTCGGAAGGCTCGTTCATTACACCTTGGACGTCGTCCTCGTCTCGACCGTCCTCGCCGGCGTCAAGCGGCATACGGGATTCCAGTGAGTCTCTACACTGCCCGCGCGGGAGTCCTTTGCGGCGATGCGGGGGGCACCTCTTCTGGCGTCGCGGAAGAAGATCGGGGCTGGTCCGGTATCGGGAGCAAAAGTCCCTCTTGACCTGTGAAGGATCGCCCCGAAGGTGTCGTGTGGCCGAGTCTGACGTGTATTCGGCGCGGAGACCCTCGCCCTTTGTCGCTAGCTACGCAACAGCACCAAGTCCTGAAGCAGAAGCAACAAAGGGGGGATGTCCGCTGACCCTTCCTCCCGCAGGGTAAACACGACCGCGATGCCAGAGGGTCCCGTCCGGAACACGGCCGACTCTCTCCTCTTTGCCGGCGACCGCGTGTTTGACATCGTCGCAGCGACGAGCTTTTCGAGCTCGTGGTTCGAGAAGGAACCGAGGAAGCCCACGCCGCCGCAGTAGTCCGTTCATTCACACCTATGTAAAACCAAGCATGCGCATCTCAACTGAGTTGGGTTCTGCGGGGGCTCGTTTTGGGATTGTGTACATGCTCCAGCATGCGCTTGCTACTTTGGCCCGTGGAAACTCTTCACACTCACTGCCTGTTCGCAGGATCCCGCTTAGGCCGCTTTCGGCCAATCAAGCGCGGCAGATTGACGGAAGTGTGGAATCGGCCTGCTTTCAGGTATGCTACTGTACAGATGCTACCGTACCATGTGACCTGCCTTCTTGCCACTCATTTAGCGCCGGGGAAAGGCCGTGCGGGGCCAGGCGTTTTTGAATTTGCCTCCGTCTCAAGCTTGTTCCGCATCAGACATTCCGGGTTCTTTCATCTCAACAGCTGATCCGGGCAGCGACCTCTTGAGGCAGTAATCGGCGCTTTGCGACCGGCGCGGTGGACTTTATGATCTGCCACCAGAAGTAGCGTGAGCCACAAGGCAGGTGGCGCCCGCGGGAAGGCGCAGCTGCGGGCACTTGCGCTTCACGGATCACGCCAAAAGATCTTGCTTTGAAGGTCTTGCAATGTAGAGCTTGCAGGAAAATGTGTGGCTTCTGTTGGAAAAGAGACCTAGGGTGACCGCCCGTGTGATTCTGGAACGGGAAAAGCGAAATCAGGGAGGAAATTGCGCCGCTTTTCGCTGCATCGCCATAGCAATGTCATTTCACAAGGTGGCGGTGCAAGCGACCCTTCTTAGCTCAGTTGGAAGAGCGTCAGACTGTAAGCGGTTGAGGATTCATCATTCTTAGGAATCTGAAGGTCTCTGGTTCGATCAGAGTGCCACTGCGCCGGTGCCCCAAAGGTTGTCTCCCTTCCGCTTCTCCCAAGAAATTGCTTCCTTACACTCTCCTTGATCACAGAGCACTACACTTACATTGTATCCAGCTCAAAGAGCCAGACTTGCCGGGGAGTGGAAAAGCTCGAAAAGATTGGCCGATGGAGGATCTCTGGCAGTGGTCGTAACTAGCTCCGGTCCTCGATCCCCTCTCTGTCGATCCGCGATTTGCTCTTGTGTAGCTTAGACAGGCAAAAGGTGGTTCAGAGTGACTCGCGCAAATATTCCAAGAGAGGTTGAGCAAGAGATGGGAAGTGCTAAAACCCGGAGAAAGGGAAGCTCTGACCAACCAAGTCTAAGCAAGAACGGGCAGCGACCTCTTGAGGCAGTAATCGGCGCTTTGCGACCGGCGCGGTGGACTTTATGATCTGCCACCAGAAGTAGCGTGAGCCACAAGGCAGGTGGCGCCCGCGGGAAGGCGCAGCTGCGGGCACTTGCGCTTCACGGATCACGCCAAAAGATCTTGCTTTGAAGGTCTTGCAATGTAGAGCTTGCAGGAAAATGTGTGGCTTCTGTTGGAAAAGAGACCTAGGGCGACCGCCCGTGTGATTCTGGAACGGGAAAAGCGAAATCAGGGAGGAAATTGCGCCGCTTTTCGCTGCATCGCCATAGCAATGTCATTTCACAAGGTGGCGGTGCAAGCGACCCTTCTTAGCTCAGTTGGAAGAGCGTCAGACTGTAAGCGGTTGAGGATTCATCATTCTTAGGAATCTGAAGGTCTCTGGTTCGATCCCGGAAGAAGGGATGTTTTTTGCTGCTTATACGTACACCTCGTACACTGGAGGTCGGAAACGGACCCAAGGGAGCGGATTCCGGGTGTTTTTCCCGGCCGGGTATATCAACCGTGTACAGGCTTCTTCCGGCCTCTGCGGCGGTCCCTTGCTGCAGTGTCACACTGCATTTAACCTCGCCTTTGTGGTGTAACAGGAGAGCAGCAGCTGGAGGAGTAGCAGGATGCGCAGGAGGCCCAAATGACATCCTCCTTTTGAAAGCGACTTGCGATATCCTCCTCATCAATGCCTTTGGACACCTTTGAAGCAGTCAAAAGAGACTTGCTGTGCAATATTGTCGCTGTTGCATAGATCAGCCGGTGTTGTCGCTCGCCAAAGATGGGGGTACCTGGTCCCCAACGGAACTCGGGCCACGGAGTGTGGCAGTTCTGTCGGGCAATCACTAGCACGAGGGTTCTCCTACGCAGCCTTGCCCTTGCAATTGGAAGTGCATGTTGAAGTCCAGGTGGGATTTGCGTATCGGTCTCCCTATGTCCGTATCTCGAGGATTGATGGCGTGGGCAATGTGGCATTGCCCTTTGAAGAGCAAAGACGGCCTTCTCATTTTCACCCCGATTGTGCCGACCTATTCGGATGAAAGGCATACCCCTGCCGTAACACTGTTGATGCGCTGCTGCAAATTTCAAATGCTCTATGTGCAATTCACCATGTGAAGGGTCCACAATGTATAAGAGCGCCGCCCGTCAAGCGGTCCAGGCTTTGCCCAACTAGTTGAGCCCTGAAGCCAAACCAAACCCCCAGTCCTCCTTTCTCTTCTCTTCTTTAGTTTGTTCACTCATGAAACAGGCGGTCTATGGTCCTCAAGTCAGGCGAGCTGGAAGTGGAGGTGACACATCATCCGTGCGACGGACGAACTTTGAGCAGACCCAAGCCTTCCATTGGCTTGTTCGCCTAGTGAGATCACGAGTGCTGTTGATGGAAGGGTGAAAGGGGAGTGCAGGCTAGTGAGCAGGGAAGACACCAAAGGGAAGGACCAAGCTGTCGCAACCACGAGGAAGATCCGAGTCAAACAGAAAGCTCTCTTCTTCCATGCCAACAACGCCCGGGATGGCACAACAGCTGGAGCAGGTTGGGGAGGGCACGGAGGGAGGAGGAAGAGGATGGCAAAATGAAACAGAACAGTGGATACAAGGAGAAGGGGGAGAACCCCCAGAAAGAAGACGTCCGAGTAAGAGTGCCGCTACAGACGAGAGAGTCACAGCGCCGGCAAGCGCGGGCCAAAAAAAATTGGTGGTTGGCAGGCCGGACTGGGAAGAGCGCATTGAAAGTGTTGACGTCTCTGAGAGAGCGGCTGCTGCCGGAACCGCATTCACAAGTCAGCATGATGGTGCAGAGGCAGAGGAATCGGCAGCGCACCTTTCCACCGTGCTGGGCTTGAAACTGCAACCGGAGAAGGCGAAGTGCTATCAGGCGGCGCACCTCAAGAGCTTCTTTGACCCCTTCAGAAAGCACAGGATCAAGTGAGTCTTTTATCCTCAAGCTGAGTCTTTTATCCTTGCAATTGACAACTTGTGCAAAAGTGTAGCAGCAGCGTTCCAAGGAGTTGCAGGACCGATCTGACGAGCAGGAGACCTCAAGGACATCCTCCTTTTGGGAGACTTGTTGACACCCTCTGCATTGAGGCCGTTTGAACTCCTTTGGAGCCGAGCAGAGCAGTCAAATATGAGTATTCGCTGTGCAATCTTGTGCAACCGCTCTTCTGGCCACAGGTACTGCTTCCAATTTTGAGCTGACCACCTGGCGCTGTCGCTCTGCGGGCCTTTCCCTTAGGTCGTTGAAGTTGCTGCGAGGTCAAAACACGGTTGGGAATTCACCTAAGGAAGTGGGGAGCCTTGCCTGTGCAATACGCGTCATCTCTTGCACGCATCCCAGTTGCTGTTTCCGCAATTGGATCGGCAGACTACAGAGCTTTTCAAGCTTGTGCACACGGATGTGCTCTCAATCAATGTGAGGTCGTATGTAGGTTGCCGCTACGATGTCACATTTGTTGACGACTACTCTCGCATGCTCTGGGTTGAGGCTCTTGCCCGCAAGAGCGACGTCTTCGGAGCCTTCCAGCGCTTTAAGGCGGTCACCGAGAACGAGTTGGGCAAGCACATCCAGCGCCTTCGCTCCAACGACGGCGGCGATTACACATCCCAAAAATTTGGTGGCTTCCTGGCCAAACACGGATCCATCACGAAACGCCACCGCTGTACTTTCCGCAGGCCAACAGCGTCACGGAACAGATCCACCGGACCATCATCGAGGGCCTGATTGCACTGCTCAATCAGGCTCAAGCACCCAAAGCCCTCTGGGGGGACGCGCTCCTCCTCGCCTTTGTCTTTGTCAAGAACTGGTAGCCGCATGCTGCAATTGCCGGATGCGTGCCACTCGCCGTCTGGTGTGGCAAATCTGTACGGGTGGACATGTTTTGGGTCTGGGGCTGTCGTGCTTACGCCCACACCGTCACCAACGGTGGTGCAGAGCTTGATCAAGGCCGTACCTCTGCTCTTTATCGGCTACAATGGCAACACCGCCGCTGCCGCCTGTCTTCGAGGTTGTCGCGACACCGCCGCCGCCTGTCTTCCATCGCGCCAGTGCACCTTGGCCAGCTTTGCCCGAGTCTGTTCTCCCTGATGAGAATTCCCGGGACAAGCTTGACTTCCTCGGTAACGACCCCTTTGGGGCCACGCTTGCTGAGGTCAAAAGCTCTCTACTCCGCCGCCGCTCAAGACCTCTCTGCCTCCGACAAGCAATTCTCGCTCTCAACATCCGATTCTTGCAATCACCCCGAAGCGATGCGCGACATGGACCCCGAGCGCTGGCGCCTCGGTGAGCGCGACGAGTCCACGTCCTTCCAAAACAAGTACAACGTCTTCCACCCCGTTGACCGCAGCGAGGTGCCGCCTGATGCAAAGATCCCTCTCCCATAGTCCTCCACCTTTTCCCCCACCATATACCCCTTGACCATTCATTCCAACCTGGTTTTCCTGCCTCAATGAGGAGGTTTTTTTCCTTCGGGCCTTTCCTCGCTTACCCCACCTTGAGTAGTATCTTTGGTCTACATGGGCTCTCTAGGTTGATATGACTTGAAACAAGATTTATCTAACTATCTATCTATCTGATGCAAAGATCCTCAGGGCCCGCTTCGTCAACTGACGCAAGAAGGACCAGAAACGGCCAAGTCACCAGGCACAAGGTCCGCCTCGTCGCACAAGGATTCACCCAGCGGCCGAATGTCGACTTCCGCGAGACATTTGCGCCGGTGGTCAAGTTCACCTCAATCTGTGTTCTACATGGGCTTCCATAGCTCAATATGACTTGAAACACGAATTATCGATCTATCTGTCTATCTGTCCTCCTCGCTCTTGCCACCCGCCACCACCTTCATGTCCATCAGGCCAATGTCGACAAGGCGTACCTCCACGGCACGCTCGAGGAGGAGCTGTACATGCGCGTACCAGAAGGCATCGACAGCAGCAAATACGCCAGCAAGGTCCTCAAGCTCGATCACGCACTAAATGGCTTCAAGCAGGCCGGCCGTGTCTGGAATTCCTCAGATCCACGCGTCCCTGAGAGGACTTGGCTACCAGCGCACCAAGTCAAACGCCTGCCGCTACGTTTGCAGCGAGAGGGGGGGG